AGGAAGGCATCGCTTCCACCGTCTGCTCCGAGCGGCAAGGCACTCAGAACAGCTGCTACAGCAGCGGGGTTGTCGGGCTGGTTCGGACACCGCAACCAAGGTAGAGCGAACGCAGAGTCTATCAAGACTGATGAAACTTCACTTCCAAACTCACTAACCAGTGAGCAGGACTTCTCCGTCTTCAGCATCGCGTGGAATGTGTTTCTGCTGCTAATGGGCTTACACTGGATGTGGAAGCAGCTTACCAGGCCTCCTATCAGATGTATGGAGCGCCAACAACCAAAATCAAAAGCAGCAGCGAACCAAAGAGTTCCATTCCTCGAACCCGAGGATGAACCGCAGACTCGTGAACCTTTAGGACCCAACAGGGTCAATTCCGGAGAAACAACTGATCTGCGACCTATCTGGCATACTTCCCGAAGCGAAGTCTACCACCTCTCAGACAGCTGTTACCAGCTTAAGCAAGCAAGAGATGTCTGCAAGAAGGTGCTGTGCAAAAACTGCCTCCATACAGTACAAGTTGCGGAGATTCGCAGGAATGATCCTTTTCAAAGAGGTGATACACGACCACGTGGCACCGAAAGAGATATTGAGCGCTTCCAGACTTACGATGATGCAAGTAACACTCCTCACATGACACAATTATTCCAGGATGCCTTGCATGCACAAATGGCCGAGGAAGCCATGCAGATTACCTATACATCGATCCCCAAGGGATCCTCGGCAAAGGCCAGAGGTACATCTGCACTCCCAAGTGCCGCATCGTCATCAGCGCCCAAGGCAATGCCACCAGGGCCTAACAAGGCAAACATATCACCTCCACCTAAGAGTCCTCCGCCAAAGGCGAAAGGAACAGTACCTTCTGATCCTCCAAGACCAAAAGGGCCTACCAGAAGAGGAGGTCAAAATCGGCGCATTCAACGAAAGGCAGCTAGAGAAGCCCACAACAGTGGACTCTGCACCTATGCAGACGCTGCACTTGACCAAGCCAATCAAGGCCAGGCAATTAACGTTACGTGTCGAAACATAGTATCAAGACACGTCAGCTCTATCGATGCAACGGTAGAAGCAGCCGGCCAGTTTACACAACGCGTGCTACAGCACGTAGAAACATATGATGAAGAGAAACCGTGGAGCACGGAGTTCCTACCAGTCGTGGAAGTCCTATTCAGGAACTTAAGCGGCGACGAAACAACTGTCATACATGACAATCAAACGGTAACTATGCCTCTTGCGAAATACACAGACCTCCTCATAATCGCACAAGCATTGCGAGGCTCTATCCAGAGAGACAAGGAGGAAAGAAAGGAACATCTTGACACCATCCAAGATACTCTATCCAGAGTGGAAATCCTTCTCACAGCACTGAAGGACTCAAGGACAGTCTTTAATCAATTGGTCAATTCCTCACTAGAGATAGAGCGAAGAAATAACAATCTCAAAAATGTCCTCGAGACACTCTTTGATGACCAAAGCTCTGAGGAAGACCAATCAGAATCTGACAATGAAGAAGTCCTAACTCCTTCTGCACAACAGTACTGGAATAGCCTTTATGCCCACGCCTTATCTCCCTCAGGAGATGAAAGTGAAAGATCATGGGCGTCCTCAGACGGACAGCTTGAAAGAAGAAGGGCTGAAAGGGCAAGGGCTAAGCAGCCGCAACCGGCAAAAGCCAAGGCAACTCCAGTCAGCTCACAAGCTGCTCCAAAGGCCGAGCCAAAGGCGACAACATCCAACCATGGATATGATACTGCAGATGCCGCCTTCACCAGGGCTGAGAACAGATTACTCGGAATCTTTTCAAGTTCCGAAGAAGATCCCTCAGACCCGGATGAGCCACATCCGAACGTCTATGCTCGAGCCTATGATCCAAACCTGGATCCGAATCTGAGATAAGAAAATTCTCAGAGTTTCACAACAGTGAATCACAAGGCTCTAACAAGAGCACAATGAGTGGCTGCATAATTCGGTAGTAGAACATCACCAGACCTGATCTTGTACAGATGATCTCTCTGACAAATATGCATGAGTGTGTGCGCAAAAGGAGTGGAGTTTCCTCAGCAGTGTACTTCTGTGCTATACCTAGCATAAATAATATGCTGTTTTTATAATGAGTCCAAAACTCCGCAACTGTGACAGTGGGCATAACAGTATATGTGTGAATGTGCGGCCATGCTTTCGGTAAAAGAAAATTAGTGTCTGTTTGAAACCATAAACCTCTAAAGGGGTAGCTCTAACAGGTACCTACAGCAATGGCTGCATGCCCATACATATACATTCCGCTGCCCATTGGCTCACAGTGGTTTTACCATATTGAGACAAGACAAGCTCTCCTTGCGTAGCAAGACAAAACAACTACTGTCCGTGTGCAGGGCGCTGCCCTTTGATCCTTAGGGAATAACTGGTCATACACCTCCTTACAAGGAGTATCCCTTGGGGGTGTATCGGCACAGGGGGGGGGGTTTGGGGGGGTTTGGGGGGGGTTGGGGGGGGGGGGGGGGGGGGGGGGGGGGGGGGGGGGGGGGGGGGGCAGGTGTTGGATGTTGGCCGCATCATACCAAGACCTCTGGCGCCCCACCCCCCTACCTCGAGCGAAGCTTTTGTTTATAAACACAGTAAAGGAAAACTAAAACAAATTAATTTAACAAACCAACACACCACGACAAGAATCCATGACAATAATCCTTGACAAGGCGATACAGACATCAATCAATTCAACAAAAGATGCGTGAACAGAAGGTTAAGAGCAGCAAGTAAGCATCACGAGCCCGATCCAAAGGCCTACGTAACTTCAAAAACTCCTTATACACAAACGCAGGCCCCAGGATCGACCCTTCTGTTATTATAAGGCCCCTTCCATTCCCTACTAACCAACGGCAAGTTTCGGGTTTAGGGAGAGTTTAGGCTTCTTCATGTTTCGACTCGCAGCCAGAAGGCTTTTCCAATCGCAAGTGGACCACAGCCCTGAGGTTCAGCGTTTCAGGGTATTATATATCATATATATATATATATATATGTATGTATACTAGTATAACACATATTATATTAACTACATGTTGAATATTATATGTTTTAAACCATTTGTATATCAGATACTATATCTCATAAGAGCTTGATGGCTAGGGCTTCGGTCGAGAAACCATCCACCTTGTTGGCCTCTGCATCGGTGTACGCTTTGGGCGTAAAAGTCGAACCGTGGAATTTGCCGAGCACGACCTCATCAGGCACGAAGGTTGTCGAGCTTGAAGTGTAGCAAAACCCTGCATGTATATAGAGCGAAACAACAAAAGAGCAGGGGGATGGAGAGAGACAGGGAGGGGGGGGCCCCCCCATCGACGTCTGCATCCCTGGCTTTTCCCCCTGGCCCGGCTTTTCCACCCCAGCTTCGGTCACTCACAATGCATCTCTCGCGCCTCCTACAGAAGCGCACACTTGTGTGTCTGTGTAGATATGGCTATAATTTATAGGTATGCATAAGCATAAACACACACACACACATATTGAACAAGATGATTTTTGCGTCCACATTTAAACTTATGCGTGCATGTGTATTCATGTATCTATAGATCTATAAGGTCTATGTCTACATCGCAAACACATGCACCGATTGCAATCCCCAAACCTGCCTCCTCCTTGATTAGCTTCTGCACTGCATTCGCAAGGAGATCGGCATCAAAGCCATGCCTGCAGCTTAGGATTGTCAGACTACAGCCACTTCTGATTTGACAGGCTTGTGCAAACCACACTCTCCACTGCTTAGTGCATAACTTGCACTCGGGACACCTTCACACGAAGAGCAATAATCGTCACTTACAGTCCCTGTCCACTGAGACACGCTCAAGGCGGAGGTTGGATTGGCGGCGTAATCATTAGAATAGACTCTGGCGTAAACTATAACATAGTTAGGTGATGGACCACAATAGGATACCCATACAAATGACTGTCTGGAAAGGTCGTGAGACATATTAAGCGAATAAACCGAGCCGGGACCATCGGATAAACACACAAACAGAACTAGAGCACACCAGGGCAACAAGTGGAATCAGCGACAATGCAGAAAAACGAAAGCTAGAACGAGCTTGAATGAGCAAGATGTAACAGTAACAGGAACAGAAAACCAAACCGAGGCCAAAACGGCAAAAACAAGTCAGTGTAGCAAGAACAGTAATAATATCAATAAACAGAGTGGTAGCAATAGCAATTACAGTGCAGTAAAATCAGAGTAGCTGTTTAAAGCGGTTTAGCTTTTCGCGGCTTAGGACCCTTGGGTGTTGAGACATGTTTGTGGCCGCGGCCATGCATGTACCGTATGCAAAAAAGAGCAGCACGACGGGAAACCCGCAACAGCAACTCCGGCGGTACGGCGGATTGCAATACTAAGGTCGAGGCTGGTGTTGGAAAGAACTCCAAGTGCAAAGCAAGACGAGGTTCAACAGCAGCACCAGTACTGATCCAGTTTGTAGTAGTGATCCTGAGAGAAGCACTGATGCCAACGAAGAGGCACAAAAGAAAATCGTAACAACAACGAAGCAGCCGCTAATTACACAATGAACAGCACAACGAATGACAAAGCAGTATAGACAGGGACCAGTACCACGAGGTCTCACGGCGGTAGCAAACAGCCTCGGCAAATAGCAGCAGCACGCGGAATGACAACTCATCCCACTCGCCATCGCTAGACTCGTCATGGTTATGTGGAATCCCGACGCAGCAACGCCATAGTGACGAAGGCCATGTCATTTACACTGCGCGCAGCTATTCAGACTCAGATGCCTTCTCTAGCTCTCGAAAAACGAGAGCGCATCTCCCTGTCTCCCACTTCTGAGACATCTCGCCTCTGCGTCTCATTTCCGAGACTCCCGACCAGATTTGGGCCATAGGGAAGCAGGAATTCGCGCCTCGTTTGTGAAACTATGGCCAGAGCGTGCTGCAATTGCAGCATCCTGTATACTCGTGAAACTCTGGCTCAGGGTGAAAGAGAAAGCTAGGGCAAAAAAAAATCAGAATGATTTGGTGGTCATAAGGAAATACTCTTTCACGAAGTCCGCAACATCCTGGGTAAGCCTCTCCACCGCTTCTTTGCTCCCTTCCAAAGAAGCGACCACATGATCGGGAGCTGAGACCTGACAGAGGAAACTCGGAGCTCCGAATGAGGCCCGTCAGACTGAAATCCCTAAACCCCGAACCAGAACATCCCAACCTCCTAAACCCTTAAATGACCATATTTTTGTTAGTATTATTATTACTATTATAATAATTACTATTGTTATTATCTTTATTGTTATTATTAAACCCTAAGCTCACGCTGCGCCCGAGGACCTCCTTGGCCAAATCCGCTGCAGTAAGCCCGCGCGCGTTCCTCAGGTCTAGCCGAGCGCCCGCAGCCAACAAGATAGCTGTCGCCTTCAAGGCAGTCTAGGTTTACTTACGCTTGGTTAGTAGGGAATGGAAGAATGGTAGTAATAGTAGTTATAATTGTACCCCATTCCTCCAGTCCCTACTAACCAAAGGTAGGTTTAGGGTTTAGGGCCTGCCTTCACCGCCCAAGAAATCTGCGTTTTCGGGAAAGGTGTCCGACAACCTCAACCCTGAACTACGCAATGGGATCGAGGGGTTTCAGCTCGCTCGACATGTTCTCAGACGCAGGCGACTGGGACGGATCTTTTACCACTCAGCCTCGAAAGAACTCGTGATGACGCTGCACATCAGCGGAGTGGCCTGGACACACAAGGCGAGAACCAATCTCCGATAGTGATGAGTCTTATAGGACGTTCGCAGGAATTATATCAAACCAGTACGGCTAGTTACTAACAACGATAATTGCAAGGACCTCCATCCAAAGCAGTTAGACAACACAATAATGATGAGAATAACTACATTCTATATTCTTTTCCTCAACAGGAGCACCCGCTCGTTCTCATGACGACGTCGATGGCGACAACCACACTCGCTGCTGCTGCTGCTGCTGCTGTTGCTGCTGCTGCTGCGGCTGTGCTGGCGCTGCTGCTGCTGCCAACAATACTAACTCAAATAGCACTGGTTCAAAATGGCAATGCTACTTGCTACTGGCACTGCTACCACTACTGCTAGTACTGCTCCTCCTCCGACTGCGACTGCGAGTGCGACTGCTACTACCACGACCACTACCACTACCACTACCACGACCACGACCACCACCACCACCACCAGCAGCAGCACAAGCATCAGCACCAGCACTAGCACCATCACCATCACTCGAGTCACTAGAACTATGACTACTCTTGCTCCTACTGCTACTACGACGACGACTACACCGCCACTGCCACTGCTACCACTGCTACAGCAGCTACTACTACTACTACCACTACTACTACTACTACTACTACTACTACTACTACTACTACTACTACTACTACTACTACTACGACTACGACTACGACTACGACTACGACTACGACTACTCCTGCTACTACTCCTGCTGCTGCTACTACTACTACTACTACTACTACTACTACTACTACTACTGCTACCAAGGCCACAACGACTGCGACTACGACTACGACTGCGACTAATACTCATACTCTCCTGCTGTCATCTTCCTCCGTCCAGCAGGTCAGCACAGAGACCAATGCACGCAAGCACCAGTGATATCAGTGCTTTCGCTGTGAAGAAGCGCCTTGTTGGAGCGATTAGCAGAAAAATTCAGGATCGCTGCGGATTAGTTCATTTTTATATTTAAGAGTTGTGTACCCCGACATATGGCAGACTGTTGTTGTAGAAGCCTCTCCTTGAGGGTACCGACGCTCTTCGAGAGGGGCGCCGCATGACAAAAGCCTACGTCACCCAGCCTCCCGCCCTCAAGCTTTTCGGAAAGCACGGAAATACCTCTTAGAACCCACGCCTCCCCCCAAGCGCTACCCTTAAAACCCAATCCTAAAGCCCTAGCCCTGAAGCGCCTTGACCCTCACCTGAAAGCCTGAACCCCGGAAACCCCGAACCCAAAGCTTACCTTTGGTTAGTGGGGAATGGAGGAATGGGGTACAACTATAACTATTACTACCATGCTTCCACTCCCACTAACCAAAGGTAAACCCTAAACCCCTAAACCCTATAGATCCCTGAAAGGATCCCTTTAAAGGAATCCATTACTACCATTCTTCCACTCCCTACTAACCAAAGGTAAAGATCCCTTTAAAGGAACCCTAAACCCCTATAGATCCCTTTAAAGGAGTCCTATTCCCTACTAACCGAAGGTAAGAAAGTGGCCTGGTAGTGGTGGTAGGCATACGTGCTCAAGGTGGACTGGCTCCATCGGTGCCGGAGGCTGAAGTAAGCCATCATCAAGCCCATTGGGCTGGATACCTAGGGTTTACGGTTTAGGGTTTTAGGGTTTAGGGGTTTAAGTTTTTTTTTGAGGGCTCTTTTCCATCTGCTGGCTTTGGCACGATAGGGCTTAGGCAACTGGCTTTCAGGGGGGCCTCTTGTCTGGTTTGTTTTCGTAAGGCTACAGAGTTGGGCTCATACTATCCGTACGACGATGAAGATAATCATTTGTGGACAAGGGCTTAAGCCTAATCCCGAATCCTACTCTATCCTGAGTATCCGTATAATTGATGGTCTTGGTTATACAGCTCACCATAAAGTACCCAAAACCCTGAACCCCAAACAAGTCCGAAGCCATCACCGGCCTCGGTTTTCAGCTGGTAATCCACGTCTGCTCCGGCTTCGATGAGGGCACACACGATCCGGGCGGAGCCTCCTCCGAGAAGAACTGCATCGTGCAAGGCGATGGTGATCTCCTGTTCATGTTGGGGGTTGTTTCAAGCCAGGCTTCATTTCAGAATTTCAACCGAAAATATCTTCTATAATGCATTCCAGCATGGGCGCACTGCCGTTTGCGTTGCAGATCGTATGTCGCCGATTAGTGGGCAGGGACACTGCAAACCTCGTTCACCTGAACCTCAACCTTGAAACCTTAAACGGCTCTACATGGACCCCGATACCCTGATATCCCATGAAGGCGACTCCTGGCGCGAGGTTCGAGGCAGTAGGGCCTGGACCGCGTCGACGTGAGTGGTGGTGCTTGTGATCCTGCGGCAGTCCGGCTGCAGGAATAGGGTTTAGGGCTTAGGGGAGCCTTTCGTATCGATCCACATGGGTAGTTTTCAAAATTAGGGTCCCTTTTTGGGTACCCTAAATGATAGGTGCCGTGTTATAATAGGGACCCAAGCGGTACACTTTGACGGTGCTTCTGCTTAGGAGTACGGCGAACCCTAATCCCAGTAATTAAGATAGGGACCTTAATCATTAGAATAGGGTCTCGGGGCATTCTACTACAACTTACAACCGTAATAAGGAACCCCCAAAACAGTACCCAGTATAGGTAATTAATCAGGCCCCTCTAGTAACAAGTACCTGCAAGTAGGAGCTTCTGGATTCAGGGCGAACATAACCTTTTGGGTTTCAACGACTCATCATGTGACATAATGTAGGAACCTGATTAAGAAACCCTGGTCCTACAACCCACAAAAAGTAGGATTCATATAAGGAACCCGAATAAAGGCCCAAGGTTCCTTAATCAGGCTCCTACATTATGATCCCTTGGGGCTCTTCGGCTGAACAGTAAGTCCTTCGTGCCCAGGGTTCGTTCACGGCATCCGGTATTAGGGTGTTCGGGTAAGTACGTTGGGGCATATGGGTGTACAATGTAAGGCATGAGGGTGTTCGAGTTTAGAGTTTAGGGTAGTATGGAGGAAGGATTTGGGGCTGCTACCAGTACGGCTTGAGGCTTGGAGCAGTTGTGGCTTCTGAAGTAGAGCCCGGTTCGTAACTGGTAATATAGGGGCCTTATAATAATTAGAGTCGGGTTACATGGGGTATACTATGCTATTATAATAAGGAGCCCCCCCCAAAATAGTATAGGTAATTATTAAGGCCCCATATTACGGCTTACGTTTAGGGCCTCCGGGCTTCATGCCAACAACTTCTCTCTCTGCGCTTCATCTATAGTGAACCCCAGAAAGTTGGAACATGGCCTTAGGAGGATTAGTGCTAGGATCCCTTATACTTTACCTTAAGGGCATGGGGATATTGATGTTCCAACTTTCTGGCTTCTACCGTAGGCCCCTTCGGCCATCATCCTACTTCGCTCGAAGCCCTCAGTTCAGCGGCGCCTGAACGCGCTGTATCCGATCATGTTGGTCTCTGCTGGCAGGCAGCCGGCGTCAAATAGAACTTGAATGCCTGGAAGCGCTGGTAGCTCAGCATGTTTATCAGATTCACCCCTTCCAGATTGCAGAAATCATGCATGCCAAAACCTGAGCCTGCGTTGGATTTCAAAGCCACCACGACGTTTCCGAACCGACCGATTGAGCCTGCACTTGAGCCTCTCACAGCCCGCGGACCCTGCAACCCAAATCCCACAAGCCGATTTCCCTAATGAAGGGGCCTTATAATCAGAATAGGAACTTGGGGCTCCATTCTACTGTGAGTTGAAAAAGGAGCCCCAAAGGATAATGTTGGCAAATATTTAGGCTTCTCCCCCCCCGGTCTCATTGGCTCGTTCTAAGAGCTCCCATGGCCTTCGACATTGTTTGTGATGCCAGCCCAGTGCAAAGCCGTCGACCCATAGCCGTCTTTCCCATTCACCTGCATCGGAGGGCCGCCTTTCGGGTTTCGGCTCAGCCTCCCCGAGAAGCACTCGATATCAGCACAAAACAGACGCCGCCCACATGTTCCACCGAAATGGGAGGCTACAATCGCCCTGTCAGCCTTCGGTCAAAGGCATCCTGCCTCGCACCGTTTGTTGATGAGCACCTTCATGGCCTCATTGTTTTTGAAACCTGATCGGTTGAAACATTAGTAGTAGCGGCGGTGGAAGTACTGGTAGCAGTGGCCATACCAAAAACAAAACTTGGGTTACACTACAGTACTGCTGATAGTAGTAAAATCAACAGAAATAGGAGTGTGAGCAGTGGTGTGAAGTCGTCATCTTGCCGTCGTCGTCGCAGTACTGGTGCTAGTAATGTACTAGCTGCTAGCACAAGCAGCAGTAGACCAGTCATTCGCGGTCCCCACAGATTCTCGAGCAAACATGCGTAGAATGCAGGAACACGTCTTGCTCTATCCCGAGCAACAACGTGCAACTCAAAGCAATGCACTACCTTGTCTCGATCCTAGCCTGCCAACAAGTACTCGCTTCATAAACCCAACTCCCGAAAGAGGACCGCAGTGTCAGCGCATAACCACACCGAGTCCCATTCGGAAAGAACCGCGATTGCTCACCAAGTAACAAGCACACATGTGCAGCACAGGAGTGCCGGCTGCCAGGTGAAAGCGTGACTCCCCTCGTGTGATGCAGTCATTGGCGTCGGCCCTCTGCTCCAAAAGAGCGGCCATGAGCCTTTGCGAGAAAGCATGAGCCCAACACGTGGAATGTGGATACGGGAGTTTCCGCAAATTCGGGGTACCTGAATTTGGGGTCCCTATAATGAGGATCCTACTATTTAGGGTGCTATATTAGGGTCCCCCATTTTCGGAAACTCCCATACCCAAAACTTTGTAAGAGAAATCATGTAATCCAGGCTGCCTGGTTGTGCTGTGAGCATGTGTGCTACTGTACATAGTGACCAATCTGAGATTGAGGTGGCAACACGACCGAAGCTCCTATCCGAGAGAACCCCAAACTACAAGTTGGTCCCAAAGCTGTTCCCGCAACCGTAGACTCTACATAGTAATATAGGGGCCTCCATAATTAGAATAGGGCTATGTGGGATATATTATACTAGACTTATAATAAGGAACCCCCAAAATAGTTCAGGTAATTTTTATTATGGCCCCTATATGAATTGTGCAGCCAGCAGCATGGCAGTGCCATCCAATGCAGCCTCAGTGGCCACGGTCTAGGTTTTAGGGGTCTGGAAGTGTTTTGGGGGCATTTTTGGTGAGAAAGTGCCATATTACAGTTCTGTGATGCACATGCATAGAGCCTTGAGACTTCAAGCTGTGAGGCTTGGAAGCTAGAAGTTCAGACTTTCCTCCCCTAGCCTCATGCTCGACGAGCGGAACTCCTTCAGCATTGACGCGTTCCGGGTTTGCGACTTGAAACATCTTAGCTTTGGAAAGGGCCGATACATGCTGCTTTCCGCGACACAGTCCCAAAAATCGAAGAATGTCTTTGAATCCAGCAATTGGTTCGATGGACGCGGGTCAATGGCGAGAGAGCGCGAACCTAAACCCTGAACCCGAAACCTTAAACCCTAAGCTTACCTTTGGGTAGTAGGGAATGGAGGAATGGGGTAGACTCTAGACTTATAACTACTATTACCACCAGTCTTCCATTCCCTAGTAACCAAAGCCAAAGATCCCTTTAAAGGAACCCTGAACCCGCATAGATCCCTTTAAAGGAACCCTATAGATCCCTTAAAGGAACCCTATAGATCCCTTTACAGGAGCCCTATAGATCCCTTGAAAGGAACCCTATAGATCCCTTTATATTAAAGGAGCCCTAAACCCCTAAAGATCCCTTGAAAGGAACCCTATAGATCCCTTTAAAGGAGCCCTCTTCCCTAAGGCGAGCAGCGAAGCAAATGGGCGTCCAGCCCTCGAGGCTTCGCTCGTGGATGGATCCTCGATTCGAAGTTTAGGGTTTGGGGTTTGGGGTTTAAGGTTTCGGGTTTGGGGTTTGGGGTTTGGGGTTTAGGGTTTAGGGTTTGGGGTTTAGGGTTTGGGGTTTGGGGTTTGGGGTTTGGGGTTTAGGGTTTAGGGTTTAGGGGTTTAGGGTTTAGGGGTTTAGGGGTTTAGGGGTTTAGGGGTTTGGGGTTTAGGGTTTAGGGTTGGGAAAGGCTCTTTCCACTTAGCTTCGGTTAGTAGGGAATGGAAGAACGTAGTAGTAGTAGTAGTAGTAGTAGTAGTAGTAGTAGTAGTAGTAGTAGTAGTAGTAGTAGTAGTAGTAGTAGTAGTAGTATAGTAGTAGTAGTAGTAGTAGTAGTAGTAGTAGTAGTAGTAGTTAAAATTGTACCGCATTCCTCCATTCCCTACTAACCAAAGGTAAGTCCACGAGGAGGATCTGCACTTGCCTTTGAACTTTGGGACCAAAGAAAGTTTCTTGGAGGGTCGGGGGACTTCGTAACTAGGGTTATAAGTAGGGTAACTATACTTAGAACTACTTATAACCCCAGATAAGGTAGTTATAACCCTACTTACTAAGTCCCATGATCCTCCAAGTATGGCTTTAGCCGAAGGAGACTAAGGCAAAAAAGAATACTACCGGGCATAGAATCGGAAGCCATTCTGGTACAGGAAGGCTGCCACCATGAAGGATGCTGGATCACGAGTGTCGGAGACAAACTCGGGCAGAAAGTCGTCGATGGGCCCGATGGGAAAATTTCGGAAGTAGACCCGCTGAAAGTTGCGCTGCAGGCGGTACTCATGAAAGTCAGCCTCCACAAGGCAACCAGCCATCTTCCGCCGAATCATTCGCTTCAAAACTTCGACGATTCTGTTCCTGTCCGCTTCTACGGAGAATTGACCTGGGCTTTGAAGTAACCAGGGAGAAAAAAGTATAGACTTTTATTTCATGGTTTCCTTTCAATAACAGGTCCCGAAAAAAGCTATTAAAGTATATTACTCCAAAGCCCAGTGACCCTCGAAGACAGGCGTCAAGGCAACCTGGAAAGCCATTGTAGGCTCGACGGTCTGGTGTGTCTCACTGATGATTTCCTATACTGAACTTAGAACCCTAGCAAAAATTTATAATTTTAGCTGTTTCTTAGGGATTATAATAACCAAAAAATAAAAACTATTTCTAAGTACCCCTAAGTTTCAATGTCTAAGCCTGTTGATCCTGTTCGGCTCAGCTCTCGCACAGCCCTCTCGAATCTGCACCAACCTCGACACTCCCAACTCCTCTTGGACAAAAACGTACCCTGCCCGGCGTGCCAGACAGGAGGGCATAAAATTACGAAATAGCGGCACTTCCCCACGTATGCGGGAATGCTTCTGATTGCGTTTTCTCGTGCAGAAGCGCTTCTCTGCGGACAGCTGAAGTAGTCGTACCATACGAACAGGGGCTTGGAAGATATTTCTTCAGCAGGAAGACGGTGCAACTGCCCTGTATATAGTTCGACCTGCATGAAGCCCGTGATGGAGGCACCCGGGCGTAACTTCCTCCGCAGCACATCCTGCAGCACCTTGAACTGCTGGAAATCGGGGTCCGGACTCGTGACCCCAGCCCACTGATGCGAGATGAACATTGCATTGCCAAGTGCCTCGTCGAACTCAACCAACTTTTCCTCTAGCAGCAGTGTTTCATGGGGAACGACTTCAGTCATCTCGAAGAGACTTTCCACCGGCACCACATACATTGCAAAGAGCTGCTCCTCGCAGGCGTTCACATCGGCACAGTCTTGTAGATCACGAGCATATGCTTCCTCGGTTGTCTCTCTGTCTGACCGACTGGCAGAAACAAGATAAGTTCCCTCAGTTCTCAGCGTGTTATTGCTCAAGGGACACGTGACCGTGGGAGCAGGACCCTTTGATGGGTACTGCATGCAGAAAGCACAGCTAGCTGTGGAACTAAGTTTGTTAACGGCAAAGCTTACTTGCCAAGACCTGTCTGGTGGCCAAAGGTGTGGCCGGCTCCGGTGCAGAGCAGGAGAGAGGCAAGGCACATGAAAGCATGATGAGGCTTACCCGACTTCTGTTAACCCTGAACCGCCCACACCGGTCAGCTGCCGACGTGGGCTGGACGGGCTTGAGCCCCACGAGTCCCAGTGAGATGATATTCGGGGTCTAGCCAGGGCAGCGAACTTGCAGCACCTACTCATGCCCGACATGTTCTGTGCTAGCTGCCAGCACTTCCTGCCTCTGCAGAAATGCTGAGGTTGGGGGCTCTTTTTGCAATGTCTATGGCTATGGGCAGTTTCCTCAATTCCAGCCCCGTGTTGGGTCTCCACAAGAGTGGGGAGTAGGGTCACTGATAGAAAAAAGGACCCGATAAACCCCCTGACCCGACTTAGACCCCATGTTACCGTTTGAAAATACTTTCTCGGAGTTGGCTTTGCAGTCGGGCTTGGGGGTTTGGCGCTTTGGTTCAGGGAGCTAGGGCCTCGGGGCTTTCGGTCGATAGGATGTGGGGTGTGTGTGTGTGTGTGTGTGTGTGTGTCTCCACCCCTGTTTCGAAGGGTAGGTAAATCTGAGTCGAATGAGCAGGGGGCCCGGAGAGCCCGAGTGAGGTCCGGGCCAACGAAGACCCTCACTCGGTGCTCGTGTAAACGTACCTGCAAATCAGTAACCCTAGAGCGCTTCAGATCACAGGTTCTGACTTCTCCTGACAGCTTTCGGCAATATGCACTGACTTATCAGACCTGCGACACGATGTGTCAAGTGTGCTTCACAACGGCATTCCTTATGGGCGCCGTGTCTCCCAGAGGTAGCTCTGGCGCTGACTTTCCCGATTGATTGCATAAGCATTGGATGACTTCCCTTGACTTTATATCCATGCTTGCATGCTGACTTTCTCAGTGAGTCTTTCCCAAATGCCTTCTCCGAAACTGAATGCTGACTTTCTCATTGACTTTATTATGATCTGATTGACTTTCCCGAACCTGACTTCACCGCTGACTTGTCGCAGGTCTTCGGCTGCAAGTTGAGTACATGAGCTGTACTTTTGGTAGTTGCTGATCAATTTGCCATGGATACTTCAGGCAAAGGACGCAGTACCGGGACATCTCTTCCTCCCCTTCCTCCCCCGCCTCTCCCTCCACCCTCCTCCTCTCCCCTCCCTCCTTTGCCACCCCCTCCCCTTCCCACTGCTGCCCCGCCCTCCTCTCGTGGCACCACAGCAAGTGAAGTGCAAGGGTCGTGCAAGATTGGTGCAAGTGCTGCAGTTTGAGACTTCGTTGAGCTTTGGCACCAGGTGTTACCTTGGTCAGTGACTCTGCGATCGGCAAGAGCAGTGCAAGTGAGTGCGTGTCGTCGTGCAAGTAGTGTGCAAGTGTCAGTTTAGCAAACGTTTTTCTTCTGTGGTGAATGCGTGCATGCCTACATGCGTTCGGAGTGCGCATCTCGCTGCTTTACTGCATTGCAAGTGTCGTGCAAATGCAAGCTTGAAAACGTTTTTCTTCCTTGGTGAGTGAGTGCATGCCTACATGCTTTCGGAGTGCGCATCTCTCTGCCTTACTGCATCGCTTGCTTGCAGCGTTTTGTTTGTACAGAAGCGAAGCTGGTGGAGCGAGCTGTGGTTTCTGGTGGCCCGGTGGAGCATTGGAGCTGCTGGTGGTGGAGCTTTGGTTTCTGGTGGTCTGGTGGCGATCTGGACAAGTGAGTGCGCATTGTCATGCAAGTGCTGGGCAAGTGATTGCATTGTCATGCATGTGTTATGTTCGTGAGTGCTTCCGGTCAGTAAGTTCCAAAGAGCATGTGTATGTCAACCGGTGTTTCGAACGGATGCAATGAGCCCGGGAGGGCTTGTGTGTGTCCACCCCTGTTTCGAAGGGTAGGTAAATCTGAGTCGAATGAGCAGGGGGCCCGGAGAGCCCGAGTGAGGTCCGGGCCAACGAAGACCCTCACTCGGTGCTCGTGTAAACGTACCTGCAAATCAGTAACCCTAGAGCGCTTCAGATCACAGGTTCTGACTTCTCCTGACAGCTTTCGGCAATATGCACTGACTTATCAGACCTGCGACACGATGTGTCAAGTGTGTGTGTGTGTGTGTGTGTGTGTGTGTGTTGTGTGTGTGTGTGTGTGTGTGTGTGTGTGTGTGTGTGTGTGTGTGTGTGTGTGTGTGTGTGTGTGTGTGTGTGGTGTGTGTGTGTGTGTGTGGTGTGTGTGTGTGTGTGTGTGTGTGTGTGTGTGTGTGTGTGTGTGTGTGTGTGTGTGTGTGTGTGTGTGTGTGTGTGTGTGTGTGTGTGTGTGTGTGTGTGTGTGTGTGTGTGTGTGTGTGTGTGTGTGTGTGTGTGTGTGTGTGTGTGTGTGTGTGTCCATCCCTGTTTCGAAGGGTAGGTAAATCTGACGTGATTGAGCATGCTGCTTTGAAGCATTGTCTGTCCAGAAGATCCAACAAGCCCAACTCGACGTGCTCACCACACAAATCAGGGACACTGAGGCTCAGGTGGCGGAAGTCATGTCCGCCACCACAGAACTGTTTCAGAAACTTCAGAAGACCAACGAAGTGGTGGAGAACTTGCTGACGGATTTGCATTCTCTTCAATCTGTGACTACTCATTGCGTTAATTCTCTTCAACTACAAGAAACAACAGAGTTGCCCCCAACACTTCCAGCAGAAATTGAAGTCTCAGAGTGAAACGTGAGCAGTTGCAAACAAGCGTTTGTGTGCCAGTGTCATTGCAAGGGTGTTGCAAGGGATGTGCAAGGGACGTGCAAGTGACGTGCAAGGGATGTGCAAGGGATGTGCAAGTGACGTGCAAGTGATGTGCAAGCAGGGGGCCGGTGCTCTCCCTGGGGGTCACCGGCCAACGAAGACACCCCCAGGGAGGGGTGCAAACGTACCTGCGGCGGCAACAGCGCGCATATCTCTACCTTACTGGCTGGAGTGCATCACAGAAGTCTCAGTGAAAACGTACCTGCAGTGGTGCACCTGGGGAGACAGACTCCAGCTGGTGGCCACATTTTGTAATCTCGCCTCGACTTGAGTGATCTGTGTGCGTTCTGCTGATGGGCCTCGAGATCCCAAACCAGTAATTGCTAGAGGTTCTGACTTCTCCTGACTTTACCTGATTGCATCCGCTGACTCAAAGACCTGCGACACGTTGTGTCAAGTGTGTCTCACAACGGCAATCCCTATGGGCGCCGTGTCTCCCAGAGGTAGCTCTGGCGGCTGACTTTCCCGATTGATTCTATAAGCATCGGATGACTTTCTCTGACTTTATATCCATGCTTGCAAGCTGACTTTCCCAGTGATTTCACCGATGTCTTCACCGAAAGCTGAAAGTTGACTTCACCATTGACTTCTTTATTATGACAGTGACTTCACCGAGCTGACTTTCCCACTGACTTGTCGCAGGTCTTCAGCTGGAAGTGAAGTAGGAAAGCAGTGCGCTTGATAGCAGTCCTCATCTTCGCCTGGTTCTTCTTCTTTCGTTCATTGTTTTCTTGCGTCCATCTGTAGTTGTTTCACTTTCTCCGTCACCTCATCGGGCCTGTCTCTTCAACGTCTCTCTGTTCGCTGTCATCCAATCAACCGACGGAAGTGTTGGCGAACAGCTGATTCTGTTCTGCAGATGTGACGAGTATATTCGAGTTGGGATGCTGGCCGCTGGTATTATCTGTGAGTGCAGTCCTCATCTTCGCCTGGTCCTTCTTATTTCGTTCACTGTTTTCTTGCGTCCATCTGTAGTTGTTTCATTTTCTCTGTCACATCATCGGGCCTGTCTCTTCAACGTCTCTCTATTCGCTGTCATCCAATCAACTGACGGAAGTGTTGGCGAACAGCTGATTCCATTCCGCAGATGTGACGAGTATATTCGAGCTGGGATGCTAGCCGCTGGTATTATCTGTGAGTGCAGTCCTCATCTTCGCCTGGTCCTTCTTCTTTCGTTCATTGTTTTCTTGCGTCCATCTGTAGTTGTTTCACTTTCTCCGTCACCTCATCGGGCCTGTCTCTTCAACGTCTCTCTGTTCGCCTTCATCCAATCAACTGACGGAAGTGCCGATCTTCGTTTGAAGCAATCAGAAGACTATTGCTGTCCCGATGGGGCATGTTTGTGTTATTCTGCTGTACACGCGTAAACTCTGCAGCGGCAACAGCGCGCATATCTCTGCTTTACTGCATCGCAATACTGCATCGCAAGTGTCGTGCAAGTGCATGCTTGAAAACGTTTTCATTCCTTGGTGAGTGAGTGCATGCCCACATGCTTTTGGAGTGCGCATTTCTCTGCCTTACTGCATCGCTTGCTTGCAGTTTTCCGTCGTTTGTACAGAAGTGACGCTGGTTGAGCGAACTGTGGTTTCTGGGTGGCGATCTGGACAAGTGAGTGCGCATTGTCATGCAAGTGCTGTGCGTGCATCGTTATGCATGTGCTGTGTGCGTGAGTGAGGGGAATCGTTACGTTGTTGAGCCTTAGACCCCTGTTGGAGCTTCGGGGCCTTAGTACATGTGCTTGAATGGTTATGTTGTTGAGCCTTAGACCCATGTTGGAGCATCGGGGCCTTCAGCTGATTCCATTCGGCGGCAACAGCGCGCATATCTCTGCTTTACTGCATCGCAATACTGTATCGCAAGTGTCGTGCAAGTGCATGCATTTCTCTTGCTTGCAGTTTTTCGTCGTTTGTACAGAAGTGACGCTGGTGGAGCGAACTGTGGTTTCTGGTGGTCTGGTGGAGCATTGGAGCTGGTGGTGGTGGAGCTCTGGTTTTTGGTGGTTTGGTGGCGATCTGGACAAGTGAGTGCGCATTGTCATGCAAGTGATGTGCAAGTGAGTGCATCGTTATGCATGTGCTGTGTACGTGAGTGAGGGGAATCGTTACGTTTTTGAGCCTTAGACCCCTGTTGGAGCGAGTGAGTGCATGCCTACATGCTTTTGGAGTGCGCATTTCTCTGCCTTACTGCATTGCTTGCTTGCAGTTTTTCGTCGTTTGTACAGAAGTGACGCTGGTGGAGCGAACTGTGGTTTCTGGTGGTCTGTCATGCAAGTGCTGTGCCAGTGAGTGCATCGTCATGC